GAATAATGTCTATGTAAATCTTATGATGACCTTTGTCCTGGATTTATCTGATTCTTCTATTGATTATATAGTATTTTATAGTATTCTTTATGATAAATGTTCCTATATTTAGTTGTTTGTATTATGAAATATATTATGCATACAGAAAGTGCATAGATACAAATAATAAATAATTGTACAATAATTGCCTGTGTAACAATCATCCAGGTTAAAAAAAAAAAAAGGAACTTTGCAAACCCCCCGCTATTGTTTCTTTAATAGTCTCTTTTTTTAAATGGACTTTTAGATAATGTCATTTTTTCCTGTTTTAAGCAGCGCTACCACATTTTTCTACACAATTTCCTGGGGTGTTCTTTTAAGAATAAGTTCCAAGCAATAACAATTACTTGTAATTTTGATAAACATTGCCAAATTGTAATTCCAGACGTGTACCCAAATATGCTTTCACCAACATGATATTATCATGGTATTTCTCTTCTGGAAGAAGCTTAGAATAATTTCGTTCTACCAAAAAGAAAAAAAAAAAAGATAATGTGAGATTATTTTGATGGCAGTGACATGAAATTGATAAATTAATTTGGAAAGAATTATCATTTTTACAATAGTGAATTTTCTTATCGTTGAACATGGCATGTTTGGCTATTGACTCAAGTCTTCTTTTACCATTTTTTGGGAAACTTAAGAACACATCACACTATTGCTTCATTTAACACTAATAAAGAAAATATTCCAGGTAAACTATGAGAGGTATCCTGACTTCAGGGATGTTCAAGTACATTTATAATCAATGAAATATGGTCTCTCTCAATTGTTTCAAAATTTTATCTGTATTATCATTATATATATTAAATTTTCTTGCCAGAATGGGGTCCATATGTGGTTATAATTTCTGCTTATGAATTGCTGGCATGTAGGAAAACTCTTAGTTTTTATATATGCATGGTTCCATTTCCAAACATTTTATTTAACAATCTTATTAATGCAAAAGCAAAGATAATTTTGAACTAACTTTTTCTCTGTTTATACATTTTGCTTTTCATACTTGTTTCAGTTATTTGGCCAATCATTCCAGAACAATGTCAGATCAAAATAGTGGTCGGAGATACTTTGGTTAGTCCACGTGTATAGTAAATAACTAGAATATTTCTCTGAGCTCAGACTTTGCTGCTGCGTCCCATTGCTTGCTGGACAGCTCAATGTGCCATAGATGTCCCAAACTGAGCATTTCCAAAATTGATCTCTCACTCTGCCAATCTGCTATTTCTTCTGTATATTATGCATATTATTCTATATTAAGTATTATTTTGCTACTATTTCTCTACAGTATCTCTATCAGCTGGAGAGTCCCTTCTCCATCCAGCCAAGCTCAGAAATCTGGTTTTATCCTTGACTCTTCACTCTACCCTGAATTTGAAATTTAAGTTTTGTGTGCATTTGATTTTCTTCCTCGAAAGCGGGTTTATACTTTTAGTTAGATTTTGAATTCAGGCTTACAACCCCAAAAGGCTTAAGAAATGTATATATAATTTAAAAATACTTTAAAAAATTATTTTGAAAAATGTACATACATAAGACTTTTTTACTATACAGTCTTAAGAGTTTTAAAACACGGAGATTTGAGTCAACCACCACCATAGTCAACATAAGGAGCAGGCTGGGCAGGGGGGCTGACACCTGTAATCATAGCATTTTGGGAGGCTGAGGCAGGAGGATTGTTTGAGGTCAGGAGTTTGAAACCAGATTGAGCAACTTAGCAAGACCCCTGTCTCCATATAAAATTAAAAAATTAGCTACATGTGGTGGCCCACACTTGTAGTCCCATTTAACTTAGGAGGTTGAGGCGGGAGGATCACTTGAGCCCATGAGTTTAAGGTTGCAGTGAGCTGTGAATGGATCGCTATACTCTAGCCCGTGTAACAGAGTGAGATGCTGTCTCAAAAAAAAAAATAAAAAAGGATCTAGAACAGTTCTATCACCCCCCCCAAACCTCCTTCAGGCTGACCCTTTGCAGTCACTCTCCCCCAGTTCCTAAACTCCAGCAACCATTGATCTGTTCTTCATACCCGTAGCTTTGCTTTACAGCGTGGCACAACCCCATAGCATATGACCTTTGGTAGGCATTAAGGTGGCACCCGAGTGCCTCCCTCCATCTCCATCTCTTTGCCTCTCACTGCAAATGTCAGCAACACAAACTGCTCAGAGTTACGTGAATGGACCTTGCTGTTTCTCATCCCTGGGCTTTGCTCATGTCCCCCACTTTGACTATGTCTCTAGACTCTTGTCCTTCAACTGGCTAACTCAAAATCAACCTTTAGGAGCCCAGGTGTCTTCTTCACAAAGACTTTCATATTTTTTTCTTTCCTAAACTGTACCTTTCCTTGGTATTCACAGAATACTTTGTGTACTTCTCTCCAGTTGTATGCACCACTTTGTATCATAATCGTATTATAATTATTGTTGTCTCTGTTTACACCAGCCCACCACCAGCTCCATTAGACTAAGAATTGTGTTATCTTTTTTGTCACTCATGTATAGCCTGCTGTTAACATGACGGGGTCCAAATGTTGATTGAATCTACTCCATACAATGATGATTAATACCTTCTCTAATGATTTTCTCATTTATTCCGATTTTTTCTGTGTCTAGTATTATCCGACAGAGTGGTGTATACTCCAGAAAACCTCTACAAGGAACTCTTCTCACAACATAAAGGGCTCAGGGAATTAATAAATTCAGAAATACGCGCTGTCTCTCATGGAGTATTGATTTTTTCTCACAGCTGGGCTGTGGACTTAGGTCTGCAAGAGAACAAGGGAGTTATCTGTGAAGCTCTTCTGATTTCCCAGAACAACACCCCAATCCTCTACTCCATCTTCAGCCAGTGGAATGTGGGGTGCAAAGGCTACTCTATGGTAGTTGCCCAGACTTTGAAGCAGAGGCTGGTGAACACAGGTGGCTACACTGGGAGATTATGCGTCACTCCTTTGGTCTTCCTGCTGCATCCTGATGGAAAAACACAGACTCATTATGGTTCAGATTTGCAAATTTACCCAGAGTCCTATAACCTTATGACAACTGAGGACATGGAAACTCTTTTACGGTCCCTTGTGATAGTCTTGTTTGGGTTTAGATCCTTCTTAAGTGATGAGCTGGGCTTGGAAGTTTTGAACCTACTCACAGATAAACAGTATGAGTTGCTTTCAAAGGACTTTCATAAGACCCGAGAGCTGTTTGTCCATGGCTTGCCTGGATCGGGGAAGACTGTCCTGACTCTTAAAATCATGGAGAAGATCAGGAATGTGTTTCACTGTCAACCAGGTGACATTCTTTACATCTGTGAGAACCAGCCTCTGAAGAAGTTTATAAGGTATGTAGCCTGTCTGAGTTCACTTTGTATGTGTGTGTGAGTTCACTTTCTTTTCTTTATGTATTTAATTTATTTTATTTTTGAGACAGAGTCTCACTTTGTCACCCCTGGTAGAGTGCTGTGGGGTCACAGCTCACAGCAACCTCAAAATCTCAGGCTTACGTGATTCCCTTGCCTCAGCCTCCCAAGTAGCTGGGACTACAGGCACCCACCACAACGCTGGGCTATTTTTTGTTGCAGTTGTCATTGTTGTTTAGCTGGCCAGGGCTGGGTTTGAACTTGCCAGCCTTGGTGTATGTGACTGGCACCATAACCACTGTGCTCTGGGTGCTGAGTCCACTTTCTTTTCTTGAGTAGCCTTGGCTAGTGTGGCTGTAGGTATACATGCTAAGGTTCATATTGTTTTTACCATGGCCAAAGGAATTTAAGAGTAAAATTGGCTTCCTTTGTTTCACTGGGGGAGAACTTGACTTTGTTTCTTACATTTTCAGCACAAAAAACAGCTGCCAGTCAGTGACCCGGAAAACCTTCATGAGGAAAAACTTCTATCATATTCAACATATTATCATTGATGAAGCTCAGAATTTCTGCACTGAAGATGGGGACTGGTACCGGAAGGCAAAAACCATCACTCAGGGAAGACAGAATTCCCCAGGAATTCTCTGGATCTTTCTGGACTACTTCCAGACTAACCACTTGCGTTGCAGTGGCCTCCCCCCTCCCTCAGACCAGAATCCAAGAGAGGAGCTCACCAGGGTGGTCCGCAGTGCAGAGCCAATAGCCGACTGCCTGCAAAACATAATGCAAGGGATCAGGGAAAATCCTCCCCCCAACCTCCTGCCTGAGTCCCTGGTGATGCTCCATGACCCTGAATGGGCTCAGGGTGTTCCAGGCAACTTCGAGGTTATTGAAGACTTGAGCTTGGATGAGATGGTGACCTATGTGGCAGATAAGTGCCGATTTCTCTTCAGGAATGGTTATTCTCCCAGAGATATTGGTGTGATTTTCAGTAGAGCAAGCGAGATGAACGGATGTAAAGACAGGCTTCTAGCAGCAATGAGGAGGAGAAGAATGTCTGAGCTCAGTGAGGAACCTGATGTGTTAGTACAGATCAGGGACACATCCGATATTTTTGGTAATCATATTGTGTTGGACGATGTCCATCGATTTTCAGGCCTAGAAAGAAATATTGTGTTTGGAATCAACCCGAGGGCAGTTGAGTCCTGTATTTTCCACAGTCTTCTGCTCTGTCTGGTTTCCAGGGCCAAAAACCACCTGTATATTCTAAATGTTTCTTTCTGAGGGGAAAACCCCATCTAAGAAACGGTTCAGTAGCTCTCATCTCTGATTAATTTAATCTAAACATTTAAACATCAGATATTTAATGAGCACTTACTCATTCAGCCATATATTCTTGCAGGTGCTGGGATTGAGGATTAGGGACAAACCAGACCCCAGAGTCTTCCTTTGGGGGCACAGACAAGTAAACAAATGCAAGGAATTTCTGATAGTAATTAGAGTTGTCAGTAATTAAATTTCCCTGAGACTCAGAGGGGGTATGTGCAAGGGAGGAAGGTAGGGCATTGGCTATTTAGGGTGGTCAGGGAAGTGCTCAGTGAGGAAAGAACTAGTCCTGAGATCTCTGAGCTGCGTGTGCCCTGCCGGGCAGACTCAAGTATTTTTATTGTTTTTCACACAATGGATAGGGTTTGGATGTTTGGCCCCTCCAAATCTCATGTTGAAATTTGATCCCCTGTGTTGACTGTGGGGCTGGGTGGGAGGCATTTGGGTCATGAGGGCAGCTCCCTCAGGAAGGGCTTGGTGCCCTCCTCCTGTAAGTAAATTCTTGCTTTACCAGTTCTCACAAGAAAGAGCCGGTTGTTTAAAAGAGCCTGGCACCACTTCCTCCTCTTGGGACATACCTGTTCCTCTTTCACCCCTGAAGCCCTCACCAGAAGCAGATGATTCCTGTACCATCTGCAGAACTGTGAGCCAAATAAACCTCTCTCTCTCTCTCTCTCTTTTTTTTATGAGTTTCCTAGTGGCAGGCAATTCTTCATAGCAGCATAAAATGGACTAACACAACAGCCATGCGCAGAAATGCTTGGGCGGGATGTGCCGGGTGAATGGAAAGGCTGCAAGCGTTGTGTGCCTGGCCTTCCTTGCAGGGGCTAGGAACGGGTGAAGCATGTCTCAAAATGTAAGATCACAAGCTATGCCTTGTCATTTTTTGCAAGGCCACATTATATTACTTCATTATTTTCCACTTTTTCTTTTAAGGGTCTTAGTGTTTTGGATCACTGTTATTATGTGCCTTTTGGTTACTTAGCATCTTTGCTCTTTGGTGTCATCCAGATGACTTCTGCAGAGAATCTTAGGTTACTATGTGGAGATGAGACTGCCACAGTCCCCCCAAAGACACACTGTGCTTTATTGATGATAAGATGATAGAGGGTCTAAGAGGGTGAATGTACTAAATTCAGAGTTACATTTTGTTTTCCATTCAACTTCCTAATCAATGAAATGATGAGGTAAGTCTAATCTCTTTGTTCTAAGGATTCCTCAGGATTTCAGGTAGTCTTTCAAAAGTCATTGCTACGCAGTGCCAATTCCTTGTTTGCTATAGGTCTCTCAGAAACCCTCTCATACTTAAGGCCAAACAAATCCATCTTTTTGAAGAGTCAATAAGTAAAAAATACTGAGTTAATTCTCTATCAAAAATGTTTATCATTTATTGTTATTTCTCAAGAATAAGTAAATCTCTTATAAGAAGTATAAACTTGAAATTAAAATTTTTATTTTGAGACAGTCTCACTCTGTCACCCAGGCTGAAGTACAGTGGCACAGTTATAGACCATTCAGGGAAACATCAGCAAGACCTTCAAGCAGAGAAACCCTGACAGTCCTGAAGGACTCTGAGGAGATAGGAAGTATTTTCCAGGATTTCTCATGAATTCAATGAAGGGGACTCTATCTTATTCCTATGTGCTTTACCTCCATTATTGATTTTATTGGATTTAATGGAACATCATAGGCAACACTTAAAGGTACAAACCAGGTTAACAGTGACTGCTCCATATAACACCCACTCAGATCAGGCTACAGGAAAGCAGATGGATGATACTACCCAAGCCTCCATCTGCATTGGAGAAGAAGTCAGATAAGTCTACTTGGCAGCAGAAAGTTGTCAAAGAGAGCCCTTTCATACCATCTTAGGGTAAATAGAAGGACTCTGCCAAGCTGCTCTTATTAAGAACTAGAAAGAGAAGTATCATCACTAGGCAAAAAGACTGTGGGGGAAAAAGGTAGAAGAGGAACATGGTAGGATTCAGGTGAAGAACCCATCCTGAAAGGAAATAAAACTCAAGGGACAAAAGAAAACTCCCCACAGATGTCTCACGCTCTAGAAGAATCCAAGAAGTCCATAAATTCAATTTAAAGAGTTGGCAGGATGCCACACTGTAGTTGAGTTTTCTCTCTCTGAACTGCGGCCTGGAAACGTCCCACAGGCAGTCAACTGAGGCAGTCATGGAGAACACCTCGCTAGTTTCCCTCACCCCATGCTGAATGTGGGTAGTTAATTCCTTTTTTTTTTTTTTT